ATCCCCATGGTTATCAATTACAGGGCATTTAACAAATGGTCTGATTCTAGAGGGCAATATGTCAGTGCACTCTGTTCCAAAGGAATCGTCGTTATGGCATCCAACTTAGTTTTTGTCCTGTGTAACTTCATGGATATTTCCATTTACTTATAGCCACTAGAGATAGGGTGTCAGTCATATTTCACACAGCAGAAAACTCTCTGGAATTGAGTTTTGTGGCTCGCAAAACATAAGTAACAATGTCTAAGATCGTTTATCTGTAGATACTATTTATAATTAAAGAGGAGAAACATAGGGAGAACTAAAAAATATATATGTATGTGTTTACACATGTATGTATAGAGGTATATTCTTTTTCTCTGATAATGAAACAGTAAAGAACTTTCTTCAGTTCTCCGCTGTCATTTTCTTCTCACCATGACACATTTTTTTTCTCTGTAGAGACATAACTTTATGATACTTTGAAAACTAAGAAAGTCCTTGCTAGTGTTCTTCCTTATAAATTAATATTAATGCATAATAGAAAATTTAAAGGTAAGTAATAGGAAATTTTTCTTTAAGTGAAAATACAGTTTCTTTTATAAAATTGAGAGCATTCTTCTCTTTTAGGCTGTAGTCAGGCAAACTTTATTTGAAAGAAGGAACAGTTTTTGTTTTTATTTTCCTTTTTAATCATTGCACTAAAACAATTTTTTCAGAAAAAAGACTGCTTGGTAATCACAGTCAAGATTTACTTGACTTAAAATTTTTAATTCCCCCTTAGGATAAAGGTTAGCAATCCCTTGTATTTACAAAGAGAGTTATACTCAGTAATTAACCCTATTCAAATTTTTGCAGTTGGAAAAAAATATTAACCTCACTTAGGGAGAAAAAGGCAGAGGCTAATGAATGGAAAAGCTTTGTTAAAGTCCCTTCAGATTAGCTAATTATGCTAATTTAATATGTAGATGGGAAAAGGTACAGTTTTAAATTTATGAGATTCACATAGTTGGGATGAGTTTAAAAACTATATAGGAAAAATATGTATTTTGAATTTTAAGCAAATCCTAAGCTATGTAGAATATCATCTTCATGAGTTATAGACGAGAAGGCAAGAGAAACCTAGATTGTATGTAGCTATTTTTTAATAAGGATAGAAGTTCACGTGGGTTTAATGTCCTTGTATGTACCATAATAATACTCTTCAATTTCATCTTCATGGAAACATGTGCTGATTACGTCTTTTTTACAGATGCAGAAACTCAGGCCTTCAGAGATACAGTAGGAGTGCCTGGGTGGCTCAGTCAGTTAAGGGCCAGCTCTTGATTTCTGCTCAGGTCATAGTCTTGGAGTCCTGGGATCTAGCCCAGTGTGAGGCTCCTTGTTTAGTGGGGAGTCTACTTGAGGATTCTTTCTCTTCCTTTTCCTCGGCACCTTCCCCCACCTGCATGCACTCTCTCTAAAATAAATAAATAAAATTTCAACTGAAAGATACAGTAACATGCACACTGTAACGCAGTAAGGGGGTAGAGCTTGGATCAGTATCCAGGTGTGACTAAATTCTAGGTCTTCTCACTACACCACACTGTGTGACCTTGACCAAGGGGCTTACTTATTTGGGAACTGTTTCTTCATCTATAAAGAGAAGATTTAGACTAAATCTAAATCAGGACTCTCATTGCCTCTCAAATTCTGATAATTCAGTTTTGTTTTTTTTTTGTTTTTAAAACCTGGAACATAAAGTATTACAGAAGTTACATGTGAAATAACATATTCATTAAACTGTTACCATGATACTTACATAGCATTTCACAATCCCAGTGTGTATTCATCCCAAATTGAATGTTAGAAGATTCTTTACTTGCATTTTAGCACTGAGAAAGTTAGAGAAACAGTAATATGCTGTATAATTTATTTAAAAAAATTAACTAGAAAATTAGTTGTTTCTATTTTGTATTATGTTGAAAATGTATTGAGAAGGAATCCTCTTCAAAATGTAATATAATATTTATGTGTTATTTTGCTTTATGGTAATTTAGTTTTGTCATGTATAAACTGTGCTTGTTAATGCAGGATACAGTTAAACAGAGGAAGTTGATAATAGGTCATCTTTCTCCTACATTAAAAATAAAGCAAATAAGTTGTAAAAATTCTAAAGATCTATCTCCATAAAATGAAATTAAAACTGAATGTCTGCTGCAAGGTCTCTGTCATGTTCGTAAAACTCAATTAGTTGTGATAACTGAAATGAATATATCAAGAAATTGGAATGTTAACATATTGCCCTCTCACAAAATAATAATATTAACTCCTTAACTTCTGTGCTTTCTCTTTTCTGTGTTTAATTTTGGTATTTCAGTGGGACAAGTGCTATAAAAAAAGACAGTCATCTTTCCTCTTGCAATGGGTGAAACATTTCTAACAATCTTCAAGAGAATTTGTTATGCTTTTTAATGAATGGCTCAGCATAAATATAGATGGCAAGAAATGCATTATTTAAAAAGTATTTTATATTATATAACAGACTAAAAATATAGCTAAATTTATTTGCCTTGTTTTTATTAACAGTGTATTAAAGTGGATAAACTATCTATAAAATAGAAAATTGAAATCATCTAACTTTGTAGTAATGTGTGCATTCTTTTAAAATATACTAAATCCTAAAAAGCAATAAGTATTTTTTTTTTCCTGTTAACCATTACTTAACACTTAAGAATCTCTGACAGATGTCTTGAGGATCTTTCAATTCAGGATTGAATCGCAAAGATAGTTACTAATGAGGAACAGATAGATGAAAGTAAATAGAATCTCACTAATTAGAAGTTTCATAATTTTGTCAGCATCTAGCCATCGGACATCCAGATCTGCATCAAAGGTACTAATAGTACCTTTGGGGGAAATGTGCAGAGTATACTTTGAAATGCGAATAGATAATCCAACACGTATCTTTGTCATATCAAGGTTATCGATTCAGTTAATCTTCTGGGTTGATCAGTCAGTATAGGTGGTGATGGCAAAACCCCTCCCCCAGAACGGTTTCCTGTCCTCCTCTGGGCAGTAACCAGGCAAGTTGCATATAGAGAGTAGCCCTCCATGCATATTGATTAGCTTATTGCTACTGTTTTGTGTCTCTGTTCCTTCAGTGTTTTGCTCCTATGGGCCCTGCAACAAATGTAGCAATTCCTTACATTAAATTTCTTTTGTTGACATACTTACTATGATTTCTAGTTCCCGCACTGTAACCTAACACAAAATAAATGACAAACTGTGTAAGCAATATTAAATATATATGGGGAAAGCTATTAAACTGGCTTGCTTAAAATTTTTGAATTCTTGGCTCATGACAGAGAAATGATGCTCATGCTGTGCTTGGTGCGAAAGGCAGGATACTATAGTATGACATAGAAAGGGTCGACGAGGAAGGATGGCCAGTGCCAGCAAGAGGCAGACATATGTGGAGACCATACATTTTTACCATCACCTAAGAAGGACAGTACCACATGTCTTTATAAATTAGGCTTTAGAAATATGTAATATCCAGTTTTCCACAAGTTGACTTTATAGTAACGAGTGCTGTATTCTAGCTAGTGAGTTTTTATGTGATTTGCATTTGAATGCAAACTGATTTTTTTTTTTCTCTAAAGGAAGCACATATACTGTCCTCATTATATACAGTGTTTTTCTGGTAAAGTTGGTGGATTTTTCTCTTTCCATTATTTTGTAGGATAGCTGGAAGACCAAGGTGAGGGTTATAGGAGAAGGCTGAAAATTCAAAAGTAAGCCAGTTGGCTTAGGAGAGTTCCCGTTTTCACTCTTGCCTCATTAGCACCACAATTTAACTAAATGTATTTATAAATAACAACTGACAAAGCCCTTTATACATATAGCAGGAGACCTCAAGATGACTACATACATGTTTGTATATGTACGTATACACACACATACACATGCACAATTACTGTCTACACTGATTTAACTTGTAGTTGTTTTATACTTAGAGTGATGTATAGGGTTTATTTTTTGTTTAAATAAAGAAAGATAAGAAAGAAATCTCTTAACCCTAAATAACCTAAATAATTTGTAATTTATTACTAGTTAGTTAAGATTTGATTATTTTTTGATCAGAAAATAGTTATCTTGCTTGTTTCAAAAAATTCTTGGTCTTGCATGTGCTTTTCACTCTCTTAATGCAAAATGACCTAAAGCTTTGTTTTCACATCATTTTGAGTTTCCATGTTTCTTAGACCTTACTGGTTGAAGAGGATCAGAATAAAAAGTAGTATCTCCCTGACTTATTCCTTCCTTAAAAACATAACCAGTATTCGAGTATGGATTGCAGTTGGTATCTCACTCTAGTTAGCCATTTCTTTGTGCCAGATAATAAAAAATATGGCTGACAACCCAAACTCATTCAGTCCCTACCATGCATAGTTTTCAAACAAACAACAAACAAACAAACAGACAACCTAGAGGATGTGGTGGTGATTGGAATTAAATACAGGGATGGTTAAAGTATGTGGTGTATAGTGATCGAATATAGTGCTTGTCACTATTAGTGATAAAAAGGTGAAAAACAGAAGCCAGTCTTGGGTGTGTCATTCGAGGAGATGGCAGATATGGTGGCACCACTAGCAAGACTAACTAGCAGGGAAGTGGGGCTAGTGTTCTATGGAAGAAGGTGATGAGTTTAATATGAGGTAAGCTAGTGCAGTTGGTTCGTGAGACTGGGAGGGGACTGGGCAGCTCAGGGTTGGAGATTGTCCTTTGCAGCCTGCGAGCCTTTTCTTTTGTGTAATCAGATTCCATTTCTTTCTCTTCTTCTTAAAAGCCTTGACAGGAAGCCATTTTTTAAAAATCTATTCAAACAAGTGTAGAGAAACTCCTCACCAATCTTGTTAAATTTCATTAGATTTCTTTGAAATACATGCAGGCTGACAGCTATGATAGTCCAATTTCATAGCTAGAGTCAATTTTTCTCCCTTTTCTTTTTTATCAGCAACATGTGCAAGCACATGACATACCTTGGAAACGGTTTCCTTCTTACGGAGCTGTGTATTCGGCATCTCTACACATTTTGTAGGCAGACAATGTGGTGCAGAATAGAGAGCTTTGATTTGTGTCTATTTGACTTGAAATTCTGTGTTAACTGATTCCATACTTAACTGGATGGTACAACTTCAAGGAGCAACTTTAAACTCTTTAAACTCTTGTCACCTCAGACAACAGAATCTATTCCTGCTTTGCTTTCCTGTGTAACTCTAGTGTGTGCCTGTCTAGTGTATATGTGAGCCGTTGGTGTCTCTCTCATCTGCCTGGGGACAGCATACTCTTTATTGTGGTGTTAGTCCTCATTAGCACTATGGTGAGGAAATGATTTCTCACTTCCTCTTATTTCGTGGACGTGATTAAAATCAGCACATTACGTGTTCTTCGTAGAATACTCCATGTGCTGATTTTTTCATATGCTGTTTCTGAGTTGTTCAGCTGGCAGACTGAAGAAGTTAATTCTGTTTCCATTTTTCTCTCATTCATTTTATAGAAAGTGATTAAGAAAAAGCAGATCCTGTAGGAGTGTGTAGACCTCAACTTACTTTTGTCAGGTAATGAGTAGACATTGTCTGGTGGAGAATGAAGAAATGCATTATTACTGGACATTGGTCCTGGTCTGACTTTTCTACAAAAGGTATTTTGAGAAAAAAAAAAAAACTTATATACAGGAAACATGCTTTAAAAGAACACATTAGAACTGAAAATCAGGTAGTTTAGAAGCAGAGTGACTGATGAATTCCTCTAATGTTTCCGATGTTACCAATATTTGGAAAATGTAATCTTGCCTTTTGCATGGGGAAGCCGGTATGCTACTCAGTAAGAAACTATGATCCAACCATTACGAGATAGAACATTTTTGATCCTATGAAAAAAGATACAAAACTTTATCATATAAATCAAAGCTATTCTGTCTCCCTTTGAATTCACATTTACTCTTTTAAGAATTGAGAGTTTTGAACTAGAAAGTGTATTAACTTTTTCTTCATTCAGGATCCAGTAAATGAGGAAAGTGAGGGTCGGAAACATTAAATAGCCACCCAAGACCACATAGACCTGAGGAGAACTGGGCTTTGATTCAGGATGTCTGACTCCTGGCCAGAGCTTATTAACCACCTATTTATTTTTACAGCCCTGCTCTATAACTTGGTGTGTTATTTCTCAGCCTAGAGCCTATAGGTGACTGAGAATGGATAGTATTTTCTTAGGTATACCATAAGAGCATGTACTGTGTCTATGAGGATGTGTGCGCTTGCATGTACAGATTTGTGTGTGTACGTGCATTATATGGTGTAAGGGAGTCAGCTGCCTGACAGATTGATAGGGGTGGAAATTGGGCAGTTTTAGGAAAATGAACAGAAGGGGAAACAAGGAGGATTCTTCTAGTTTGGAGATTGTGAAAGCTGGGATATAAGAGAAAATGGTTTTGTTCTAAATGTCTTCCAAATTTTTGAACCACTCCTGATTTAGAGCCACTGTAATGCTCACCATCAGCCTTTCTGCTCATTTTAGCCCAGTAATATTCTACTGCACAGGTGGCTGCCATATTAGCAGGCTGTTATATAGTCTATAGATTCAGCAGCAGCAGAAGGCCTTGTTTAAGGGCTCGGAAACACCAATTTCTTAATTTAATTCTAGTAATGACACTTACAGATTGCCTGGAAGTCATGTGAATCCATGATGTGGGAAATGGGTGGAGAATCCAGTTTGTTTTTTAAAGATTTTTATTTATTTCTGTGAGAGAGAGAGAGAATGCCCAAATAGGGGGAGAAGGAGACGGAGAGGGTGAAGCAGACTCCCCGCTGAGCAGAGAGCTGTTCAACAAGGACATGAGGCTCGATGCCAGGACCCTGAGATCATGATCTGAGCCAGAGGCAGACACTTAACCTACTGAGCCACCCAGGTGTCCAGGAGAATCTAGTTTTACTATTATTTCTTAAGCTTATATTTTTCATACTGAACAATCTCAAACACCTATATTTAATTTCTGTTCTCTGGAACTTAGTTCCTCAGAATTTGACCTTTCTTATTTCTCTCCAGAACTTTTTTATTCAACTAGTATCCTATCTGTTTTCAGTTGGAGATAGTGTTTTTTTTTTTGTTTGTTTGTTTGTTTTAATGTAATTTCTGGGGCAGCCCGGGTAGCTCAGCGGTTTAGTGCTGCCTTCAGCCCAAGGCCTGATCCTGGAGACCCAGGATCGAGTCCCACATTGGACTCCCTGCATGGAGCCTGCTTCTTCTTCTGCCTGTGTCTCTGTCTCTCTCTCTCTCTCTCTCTCTCTCTCTCTTTCTCAGTCTCTCATGAATAAATAAATAAAATCTTTGAAAAAAAATAAAATAAAAATGTAATTTCTGGGCTTTCTGGCATAAGTTTTGTGCCTTAATTAGATTTTTTAAAATCATTGATTAAGGTTGTATCTTTAATTGCTAGTCTGTTCCCACTCAGTACCTAATACAATGTTTATTGCAGTCAGTAGTAAATATATTGTTAATGAACTGATGACTATCTGTAAATATCCACCTAGTCCAGGTGTTTCTACCAGGATTCTTTAAGAATCTCTCATGTTTAAACATTTTCACATCTGTACAATACTACTTAAGATATGCAGTTATGAGTATATCTGGGGATAGATGAAGGAAATATTTTGAAGGCAGAGCAATGCTTCCCATGCCAGGGAAGCCATGTAATTGATACAATGCCGTTGAGTTAGCTCCAAAATATAAAAGAACTATGACTGTGTAGCATAATTAACAATGATCCCGAATTAATTTGATCTAAAAATACTATTTTGGTTATGCACTGTAATATTTATACAGATATACTTAACAATTTACCACTGAGTATATGTGTTAATGAATTCATTTTAGTTTAAAAGCATAGTTACTAGAGCCAGATTTTTTTTTTTTAGATTTGAATTGAATCCTCCACTTACAGAGTGTGCTTTTTGGTAAATTATTTAAATCTGTATTTTGGGTTAGGTATTTTTCTTCACATGTAAATAAGGATTTGTAGATTAGGTAGATTCTAATAGTAGATTCAAGCTCTTGGAGTTCTTGTCACATCATATTTCTAAAGTCTTTAGAACCCGGCCTGGCAAATAGTAAGCACTGGGTTAATATTGGCAATTATTATAGAAAACTGGAACATCGCAGAATAGAATGTCAATCTCATGTTATGTATTGGCATCATTTGGTAATTTAGCTCTAGGTTTTAAAAATTATTTTAACATGTTTGTCCTTTCATTGAACAAATGTTTCCTGAGCACTTGCTTTGTGTTAGAGATAGCAACAACACCAACTCTCGTATCAACACTACCTTTTATCTGTTTCATGCACTAACATTTACAGAGCCCTCCAAGTATTATCTCACGTGTCTTTCCTGTCAAAATGAGGAGGTAGTTAAGATAAAGGATATTGCCAGTTTATAGATGAGGTAACTTTTAGATGTAAAACATTGCCTTATTATCAGAAGTAAAACTTAGGCCATTGGTCTCTTCACTCTGCCTCACCATCTCAGCAGAGGCCCACACTCCCATGGAGCTTACTGTTGTTGCCTGTGCAGATTTCTGTGTGGATCACGTGGACCTAGGGTATGGATCCACATTGTTTGGTTCTTCTAAGTTTGGATCACAGTAATTCTGTCCTTCGGCTTAATTTGTTATTTTTTTTTTAACTTTTAGGAAGATTTTATGAATATCGTGGAATTTTGCACTTTTAAAATAAGTTGAAAATATTTGATTTATTCACAAACTATTTTAACATTTCTGACATATCTTTTTATCCTTTTGTGTCTTTGGCTTATCTGAATCCTAGTTTTCTTTTAAAATTTTTTCTTCTTTGCTATCTGACTTCCCAGCACTCCAGATTTAAATTCAAAGATCAACCTGTTTATTTTTCTTTCAACAAAGAAATTGGAATAAAGAAGTGAAAAAAAGTACAACTGCCCATCAGACATGTAATGGGCCTCTCTAATAGACCTCATTGAATTGATTACTCTAGCATTTCACCCACTGGAATAAAAAGAATAAGACACTCATCATTTAGTTATAAATTTATTCCTTGTGAAGAGCCACATCCCATTAATTTTATGTAATTTGGTTATTCCCAGTAGCTGCTGGTTTTATGTGGTGGTGTTCTCTTGAGAGAGAAGAACCATATGGTGTGCATAAACTTTAAAGGGCCAAAAGATTTTCATAGTGTTCACAATCTTAACTGTTGCTTTGATCCTATTTGTAATCTCTCTCAGAAATGCTTTCCTCTTCAGTATTTCTGGATAGAAGTAGGTATAGTAGCATAGAGTAAAATGATGTGCAAACCAGCTACTGTGTTCCAGTGGCTTGCTCTGGCCTCCTTTTACCCTAAGTCTCCGTAATCAAAATCATTCTAGATTAAATTCACTTAAGATATAGCTGATGTCAGTGTATAGTAAAATGTGTTTGAATCCACCACTACCAGGACTTCCACCACCACCACCACCACCACAGGGGAGCCACATTTTAACTATTATTATGCTGAAGAGTGAGCTTTTGGCTTGACTGGACATGCATATAGAATTCCTGATGCATCTGAATCCCTAAGGGAGCAATGACTTTGAGAAGTCAGTTCAAACTAGTGTTGGCATATCAACTTCTCATACTAGGTACCTATTCTATATTCAAGGGCCATGGCAGCCCTAATATGCCTTCATTTTTATCTTAACAGTATGATTGGAGAAGAGTTGGAAAGCAGAGATGAATCATTAACATGATCATCATTTTCAACATTTTCTGATTTTCTCGTGAATTTGTATTTAACCATTATTCTCATGTTTACTATCTATTTGCTTTTCTCTGTTGCTGCTTCTTGCTTCCAAATTGTGATAATTAAATATGCTGACTCTCTCACTCTCTCTTTTCTTTTCTTTTTTTTTTTCACTCTCTCTTTTCTGAGGAGAAATGTTTTCTCCTGGAATTGCTTTTCTTCTGTTTGTAATGACACTTTTATTTATTTATTTATTTTTTAAGATTTATTTATTTAT